GCAGGGCATCCAGCTCTCCTCTGTACAGACAGTCTCTCTCCAGCCTTTCTGCCTGAGTGTCCTGGAACTGTGATTCTCCTGATGGTCTCAGCTTCCCAAGTAGCTTGTATTACAGATGTGAACCCTGGCATGTGGCTTGTTCTTTGTTCTTCGCTTTGTTGCTGCTTGTCCTCCAAAAATGTGTCTTCTTCTTGGCTGTACATAACTTGTTTTAGAAAAAAATCACCTCAAAATTTCATCCCCGACACAGAAAGAGAATCAGGAAGAGGTGTGTGCACTTCCCGGGCCAGGCCGGCCTGCTGTCTGCACACACTCCTTCAGCCTCAGCAGCTCTCGGGAATTGTTTTATCCATACTTTACAGAGTTATGCATGTAGCTGTCCTAAGTGTCTGGGACCAAAATGGCTCTCGGGACTCCGAACCTTCAGTTCAAAAACCAGTCATGTCATGGGATAATGACTAGTCACCTGAAGCTATGAGGGTTTCTTGAATCCTGGCCCTTCTGAGCTCAAAGTCTTTCTGTTCGCCATGGTGTCATACTATCTCCATTAAAGCAATGTAGACAAAAGGCTGATTCAGAGAGTAGGGAGAAAGTAAAGGAAAAAAAGAAAGCTAGAGGAGGGGATCTTGTTAAGGGGAATGGTGCTTTGTCTGGAGGCAAATTCTGGTTCTAGTTCACTCACAAACTCCAATGTCATGATGAGCTCATTTACATCCCTGTGTTGACTCTCCTGGCCTTTGAAGTGTGTGTGTGTGTGTGTAAATTAACAGAACTTCCAGTCTTAAAGTTGTATTATTTGAAAACTTCTCTGAAAGCTACACTTTCCAAAAGCATTTCAGAGCCAGACAATTAATTTTGGTAAGTTCATTGAAGAAAATATGAAATTGAGAGTAGAAGTCAGAATTGACAATATACCATGACTTGCTCAAATGTCTAAATCTACCCCTCAAAAAACCAGTGATTCTGAGTGCAGCAGAATTCTGTGGGAATAGTTCAACAGCTTCGCCTTTATTTTATTTGTTATAATTAACTTTATAGTGTTTTCATGGCTGTCTTTAGCTGTTTATGTAGTGTCCCAAACATCTCAGCAGGGAACTGCTTTATAAATCAAGTTTTCTCTTTTTATTGTTATTTATAGAATGTTAATGGAGTCTATTTAGGAGCAATGAGTATAGATTAGAGAATGGGGCATTCTGAGTAGAAGATTTAACACAAAACGAATCTCAACAGGCAGGATTGTAAAAAAAAAAAGTGTGTGTGGCATTAATTGGATATTAGAAAGCTGTGTGAGAAACCAGATGATCTGGCATGAGAAATTAGACCCAAATACATGAGTTCGAGTTGTGCACATTCTACTTCTCTGAGTTCTCCAGTGGGGGGTGGGCCCATGGTTCCTTTCGGGCTGTCTTAGTTCATTTTATTTATTTATTTACTTATTTTTTTATTATGAAAATACTGTACAGAGGGGTTACAATTACATGGGCAAGGTAATGAGTACATTTCTTATCCAGCATTGTTGCTTCTTCCTTGTTTTCCCCTTCCCATCCCTCTTAGTTCATTTTCGATACTGTAATTACATAGTTAAGGCAGGGTCAGTTTACAGAGAAAAGAGGATTCAGCTCACAGCTGTGGAGTCTGGTGTACTGGCTGTGGTCCAGCTTTGGTGAGGGCCTCCAGGCTGCACCACACCACAGGGAACACATGTGACATTTCAGGGCAGGAAGACAGAGAAGCTGCAGTGGCCACAGCATGGCCCCTTCCCAGGTCAGGTCCTGTCCTCTCCTAAGAGATCAGGTCCTGTCAGGCTCCACCTGCGGAACGTTCCACACTTGTGGCGATGCTCCTTCTAGCACAGGACCCTGTGTGCAGCACACCTAAGCATATCCCAGGCTGTTTAGAATCAGTAAGGCCATATGGAGGGAAGCTGTCCGGGAGCCACCGAGCCCTGCCCAGTGCTGGCCACTGTCACTGCCTTGTGCAGCAGCAGGCATTGAAGGCTGAGGAATGAAGTAGCAACAAATAAAAGTGCTATTCATCCTGTTCATCTGTAAGTAAAAGAAATGGTGGAAAACAGACGTCACTCAATTACTTAATGTAACCGTGTTTCAGGCCTTGGAGTTCTCGATTCTGGAAGGAGACCAATCCTGCTGTCCGTCATGGCTGTGGTACAAGCTGTGCCCCCCAAAGACAAGTGTGAGTATGCAGTCCCCACACACACACCCGGAGCATGGCACGTCCACTCCCCAAGGGGCTGGGTGTCCATTAATAACCCCATTGGCAGATCTTGCAAGAGTGCACACCACACCCTTTATTCCCCTTGAACCCAATCCCGAGAGAACTACAGGAACTTTTACTTTAGTCCTCACTGGGTCCAAAGTACTTGAAATGGGGTTGGCGAAACCCAGGAGCTGAACATTTCCTCTCATTTTAATTAAACTTAAATTAAAGTTAAACTTAAAGATGGATCATTCAGTGATGGGAGGACATTTAAGCGTGCTTGGAGCAACGTGGGTATGTAGGTCTACGTTTTCCAAATGACTATTTTATAAAACCAAAGCACAGATTACATTTTTTCCTCCCTCATAAAAATTTAGCAAATGAACCGAGATGCTTGTATTTATAAAATACAAGTGGGATTTGCAAGCCAGGAAAAAAATAGTAAAATATCCCCTTAATATTTAATATCCATTAATGTTGACAGGATTGTATTTTGAATACCTTATTAAAAGCAAATGTTCTCCTACCACTTATTATGTTGTTAGTTGGTGTTGCTTTCACTTATTTCTAATGTGCTGACTAGAAAATTTTAAATTGCAAATGCAGTTTTATATTGTTATCTCCTTTTCTACTTGCATTGAGTTATCTCTGACATGTAAAAATTGCTTACATTTAAGCTCTGCTAATGATGATGCATGAATGGGTTGGGAAGCAAAGCAACATATCCATTTCCATGCACACTTTCCTTCGTGTGTGCCATATGAATATTTAAGATCTATTTTCTCCACATGTTTCAAGTATGGAGCGTGTTATGACTTACTACACATTGAGTTTTGGTTATTGATGATCTAGCTTTGGTAACCATCTGGACAATTCAGGCTTGGATAGCATGGCTAGGAAATTCTTTTGCTCTGTGGTTCTGACCCTGTATGACTGTGACCCCCTGACCCTTGACCCCTGGATCTGTCTAGAGCTGGTGAAGACAGAGTAAGCATGTATGCAAACATGCAAAGGGCAGAGAGGGAGGAAGATGCTTAAAGAAAGGAATGTTCCCCAGTTTCTTCCTCTCTTTGTCAGTTCTTTCTTTCTTTCTCTCTTTCTTTCTTTCTTTTCTCTCTCTCTCTTTCTTTCTTTCTTCTTTCCTTTCTCTTTCCCTTTTTCTTTTTCTTTTATTTTCTCTTTTTTCCTTTCTTTTCTTTTTGCCAGTCAAGGAGCTCGTTTTATTTTTGCCTTCGTATTATGGCCATCATGACTTTGAAGTCCCAATATTATGAGCTTGGAATTCTCCTACAATTTTTTAAAAAAAACTAACCCAATCCCAGTCTGAGAAATGCCAGAGTACTACGTATGTATGTGAAGCATGGGGGAGGCCTATTAATCCCTATCAAGGCCTATTAATTACCTACTGAGAAGGAAAGAGGCTTAACTAAAGAGGACCGGGAAGTGGGAAGTGGGGGATGAGGAAAGGTGTCAGCTAGCTACAGGGCAGCAGAAAGTCTTCGTGTGGGATTGCCCATGTGGGCCTTAAGAGGACGGTGTTGTGGCGAAAAATACTGACCATACGTTTAACGAAATATAACCACATGCCTTATGATATTTGGCCTTCATTTGGTTCTTCAAATCTTTTTGAGAGAAAGTTAGATATGTCACCTTCTTCATTTACATATGAATAGAATGGAATATATGTGGATTCATCTGTGGCTTTCATTCAGTTTCTGTTCACTTCTCAGCTTCCACTCGCTTCACCCTAGAAGCAGTGACTGCTTCCCCTCTCCTCTGCCCTGCCCTGACACTTCCTGCTCTGCCTCCATCAGAGCTGGCTGCAAGAAGGAGATCTTGAAGAACAGAGACCTTTTCTTGCTCATTTCCTTGTATACAAAACTTTTGTGTTTTACATGTGATGTGTTTGCTGTCCCAGTGAAGAGATTACTTCCTACGGAAAGGAAACTTAGGAAGACTGAAATACACCAATCAGAGATGCTCTGGGTTGCTGGGATTGAAAGGAAGGAAGGAAGGAAGGAAGGAAGGAAGGAAGGAGAGCCTCCTGGGCGTGTGAAATGAGCAACACGCACCTTCAAAGCCACTGCCTGGACCTGGATTCCAGTCTCTGTGCTACCTCTCTGGGGACATTTCTGTTTTAAATATTATCTCTAATAATGTAATTTAAAAAGCTTTTATCTCTTTAAAGGGAAATCTATACATCAGGAGCTTCTGGTTGTGGGTGGTTGACACCATCCTCTAGTTAATTTCACACTGACTGTCATGGCATTTATTTATTTGACTTAGACTTCTTAACCACCTAGAAGATGGGGATAACTAGGTACTCAGCGAATGTATTCTGACCTGACCCTCATTGAGCATAAGCAGAGTGTATCTGAGTTCCTCTCTTCTTCCCTTCTTCCCTTTTCTCCCTCCCTCCTTCCCTCCTGTCTCTCCTTCTCTTCTTCCCCCCTGTTGACCCCCCCTTCTCTTGTTTTGGACAGAGGCCTGGTGTGTTTTCCAGCCTGACCTTGTATTTACCATCCTTCTACCTCACTTTTCCAAGCTCTGGGATTATAGGTGTGTGCCACCACACACACACACCCGGAGGGGAGCCTTTTCAAACACCTGTGAAATCCCAGACACAGGGGCAGGAAGGCATTTATTCTGATTACATAGTGATGGCTTTCGCCAGGTGGCTGTATGTCTTGGCTCAGGATTGTCTCGTTGGGAAGCTTGGGGAAGGCTCTCTGGAGAATGCAAGCGAGGAAGCCCTTGGATGAGCCCAGTCATTTGTTATGGTTATGGAAAAACACAGTGTGTGCGAGCCCTCGGGTCTGCCTGGATGCAGAAAAGACTCGGTGGTTATGATGTCATTATTTGGAGAACTTCATTTTTCTTTTCGATCTTCAGAGGTGAAGTGGAAACAACGGTGCGACCCCTACCGCAGTAAGAAGAGTCTATTTATGAGCTCACAATGGTAGCACTAAATGATAAAATATGGACGTGTTTTTCTTTAGATAAAAAGGAATCATGTATAAGAGCATTTTAGGCTAGAGAAAGCCTAAATGTGCATTGGAAGAATGCACATCTTCATTGTTAATACACACTACAATTTTTAGGGCAATGGAATGTGACCATGTCAACCTCTTCACGAACCATCTTGCTTATAATAATTTCTTTTTCTTTTTTGGGTATTTAGTAACTGAAAGGACTGCAAGCTGATTTTCTTGTTGAGGGGCATGTTAATTCATTAATTTTGGAGGAAAGAGCTGTAGAAAGCCAATTCATTCAAACTATTAGAGAGTTATCATCTTGTTATCAAAGGAAGGCTTGAGTAATGAACTTAGCTATGTAAATAAGAGAATCACACCAATACCAGTGATAGAATAATACCAGTAAATACAATAGAAGTTCACACTTACTGAAGGCTTATTGTGTACCAGGCCCTGTACTAGGTGCCATGTGAGTGACAGCTAATCTTTTCAGCCTGCTGTGACAAACATCAACGCTATCCTCATGTTACAGAAGAGAAAACGAAGGCGTGAGGTTCATTAACAAATCTGAATTCAAGCAGAAAGAATTAGAGCTGTCATTCTCCATGCCATAGGTCTGTACAAATACACACACATTATAGGCCTCTTAAAGTCTGAAGGAGGACGCGTTGGTGACTTTTCTTAGTAAGTTATGATTTCAGGTGTGGTAGTTTACTTTTCTAATCTCAATACTCAGGAGATAGAGATCAGGATTGTGGTTTAAGGCACATAGCCTGTGAGGCTGCATTTCAATAAACAAACCAGGCATAGAGGTACATATCAGTAGTCCCAGATTGCATAAGGACTTGCAGTGCCTAAATAGGTCATTTACTGGAGATTACTCTGATTTCTTATTTTATTTATTTATTTATTGTGAGAATACCATACAGAGGAGTTACAATTACATGGGCAACATAACGAGTACATTTCTTATCAAGCATTGTTGCCTCCTCTTTGTTTCCCCTTCCCATCCCTTCCCATACTCCCCTTCCTCCCCCTACCCAATCCTCCCCACCCCACCAAAGTTGTAAAGTTCGTTTTTTGACATAACGACTTGTACATCTCATTGTTGCAATGGGTCCACCTGTATCCCTAAACAATTTTTTTAAGCCCTTGTTGCTGTAAATTTTCCTCTTAGCACTTCTTTTGCTATATCCCAAAGATTATAGGAAGCTGTATATTCATTTTCATTGTGATCTAGATTTTTTGTAAGTTTTCTCTCTCATTTCTGCCTTGACCGACTCATCAGTTGGTAGTCTCCATGTGCTTGAGTGATTTCTCTGATTTTCATTTTTGCTCTTATTTCTAGTTTTATTCCATCGTCATGATAAAGCAAAGTTCTTTCTATTTTTCTTGTTTCATTTGTTAGAACTTGTCCTTTTAAAATACAATCTATTTTGGAGGAAGTTCCCTGAAAAGAATGGCATCTTCAACAGCTGTTGGGCTGAATACAACGTAGAGATCGGCTAATTTTATTTAACCTGTCGTATCATTCATTGTTAAGTTTCTTTGTTGATCTTTTCTTTAGGCTGCATGTCCCATGCGTTTCTGAGCCCGATCTGTAGCTTTGTCAGTGTTCGGTGCTCATGTAGAATGAGCAGAGGTGGGGTGCAGTGCTCTGTCTCACTGCTGGACTGGCTCAGCACCCAAAGTTGGGCCATATGCTCAGAGCACCAGGTCTGAGTCCTGGCACCACGCAGATAGAAGAGAACCTGCTAGAGTCTCTTGTAGTTGCTAGTGTTTGGATAGGGGCTGGTCAAGATTTAGATTCATAAGTACCTTTCCTGAGACAAATTACTACAGACTAATCACAAACTGATTTTTCATTTTGTGCGTGCTGGTACTGGGGACTTGAACTCAGAGTCTTATGCTCTTGCTTGACTTTTTTCCTCAAGTCTGGCATTCTACCACATGAGTCACACTTCCCTTTCTGGCTTTTTGCTACTTGAGGAAAACTAGTACTCATGGACTTTCCTTCCTGGGCAGGCTTCAAACCTCAATCTTCAGATCTCAGCCTCCTGAGTAGCTAGGATTCCAGGCACAAGTCACTGACACCTGGATGATTTTTCTTTGTAAAGAATAAAATAGTATATTAAAGGATCATTGTGTTCGCTTCTTTTGCTTACATTTAAGATGTCCAGTTACAAAAATTCACTTTGAAAGGGCCCTACAAGATTCATGACTCTCTGTAAATTAATCTCTTACTTTTACCAGTTTGATTGCAAAAGTAGAAATAATGACTTAAAAAAACCCCACCAAAAATCATAATGCTTTCTCTGTTTTTGTTTAGGTCGTACATTGCAGATCCCAAGGCAAAATTTTCTCTATGAAGCAAAATTTCTCATTGCTCGACATTATATGAGCTTAAAAGAGGTTAGTGCTTTACATGTTTTACATTTATGTAACATTATTATTATTGTTATTATGTTTAAGTTAAGAAAACCCTATATTTGTATACTGTAATGGTTAATCCAAGAAACTGCATGAACTCTTGGTCTCCTGTTGGAAATGAAAGCCTCAGTAGCTTGTACAACATTGATGTCAAGTAGCATGTGAAAATGTGAGTTTTCAGTTATGCACATTTGGCCCAACTGTTAATGTTTCCTTCTGATGAATTATAATGGAATGCCTCAGATTATCATCACAAGTAAATATCTCTTTCACACTACTTAGACACAGTGAAAGTGAGTGATATACCATGAAAGGCATCTCTTCTGCACCCTGATCATGACATGCTTACAGGAATTTTCTCATGTCACTTGGTGTTAGGACTGTCTGTGGGCCGTCTGATAGCTCTTGTGGGGAAAGACTGTCTAATTAGAATGTTGAATCTCCAGCTATGAGCACTGTGCCTAGACCAATAAATATTTTCTGAATGGTGGAGCAGAAGGGATGGAAGGGAAAGGGATGGGGTGAGGTGAGGTGCAGTGGGGGAGGGTCAGCACAGGGGAAGCATTTTGGAGGACTGGAAGCGCAGAGTAGGTCTGAAATCTGAGGAAAGAACAGCTGTGATGACCAATAGACTTCTCTGGAGAGACGGGAAGCAAGGGGATTTCAGAATTCTAAATAAAAAGCACAAGTGTTTTGTGAGCATTCTTTTGGTAGGAATGGGATTGTAATTTTTTTTTTTGGGTCTGGTCATGGGGCCTGAACTCTGGGCCTGGGCGCTGTCCCTCAGCTCTTCAGCTCAAGGCTAGCGCTCTACCACTTGAGCCACAGCGCCACTTCCGGCTTTTTTCTTTTTGCTTATGTGGTGCTGAGGAATCGAACCCAGGGCCTCAGGCATGCAAGGCAAGCGCTCTACCACTGAGCCACCTTCCCAGCCCTGGGATTGTAATGTTTCTGTTGAGTAGTTCTTTGTGTCAGGGTTGGCCAGAGGTAGTTTTATGCCAAGATAGGCCAGAGGTGGTTGCAGTCTTGCGTGGATAAGCATAATGTGTCTCAGCTAACTTCTTTCCTCTAAAAATTCCAAAATATAATCAGTTATATTGATCGATGTCACTAACAGGTATATGGAATGAAGGCCTCACCGTGTTCAGAACTAGAAACAGGTGCTTTAGAAACTTGACCTATCTTAGGACTTTTATCTAATAATAATATCCTGATAATATCCTTTCATTCCATCTTAAGTTACCTGGCAAAGCATAATATCAGCATAATACCAACATATTACCAACACAATCACAGCAATATCTCACTGGCACCAGGAGTTGTCAACAATGAGATTTGGCAACAAGTCCAAAGAGCAATGTTGATTGGTTGGAAAATGAACTATCAAAGCACTGGGGCTGTGTTAGTTTCCCACAAAGGGAGTGAGAGGATTTGAAAAGCATATCCTCGTGCAGGAGATGATCTGCAGGCTCCCTCCATAAACCTTCACTTTCTTGCAGCCTGGCTGAGACCTTCTTTCTCTGGGGGAAATTATTAGTATTTTATAGACATTGAAAAGTTCTTCAATGATGTCTGAAAAATAATTGAATTCGTCTACGTCTGGTTGCAAACTTACTGTTTTAAAAATCAACTGTGAACCTGTGTTTAAACGCATCACATTAAAAGAGAGAGTTGTTTTAAAATGAATATTTCTTTTGATGTAGACTGTGAATTTCATGCTTGTGAAGGGCTTTGCAGAGTTACATAGAATAGCATTGGGTTCTGCTGCTCACTCTCAAGTGCTCTTTGCACTATGTCTTCTACCACAAGGTGCTTTGGTTTTCATGTAATTAGTGAAGGTGCAATTTTATCTTGATAAAAATTTCTAGGTAATCTTATTGATTTATTGACAATGTGAGCTGGCTTTCATTAAGTCATGAATACTAAACTTAAAATACTTTCATTTTATTCATAGAATGAAGTTCCAGGCACTTCGATAGATGTTTTCAAAAATAAATATCCCAAATCACATTTTGTCAGATATGTACCTTCGAAGATTAAAAAGACCAAAACACCTGATGTGGTCCAAGAACACAAGGCAGTACTCCGAAGTATTTGTTTTCCCCAGATCCTTCCCCCAGAGGGACATTTTAAGAAGCCATCTGTCTTTAATATAAAGGAAAGGTACCCGACGGTAAATCTTTTCACGAAAGGTCAGTTTTGAGAGACATCAAAGAGATGCAGTAATTAACAGTAAAACGGGTTTGTTTATCTCTAGTAGGATTTCCTTGTTTCTATACTACCCCAAACTTTAAAGTCTAGCAATGAGAAATAAGGAGGCATGATAGTAAGGCTTCTGGGCTTTGGGAGCCTCCAAACTGACAAGGCCAGGGTGTCGTCATGACCAGAGCATCCAAACCAAGGGTGTGCAGCAGGGAGAGGGGAACTTAGGGGACCCAAACTGGCTTGTGTGTCCTCCAGCTGGGATGTTCTTTGCAGTAGAGATGCTCAGACACCGCTTATTTCTCATTAGCCAGAGCAGTCTTGAGTATATAGGCCTGAGTTCCATTGCTGAATGGGGTAGGAAGGGCAGGCGAACTATTTGTAACTTGTTTCTCCAAATCTCTAAAAGGATTTTTAGAGGATTTCCCCTGAAGACAGTTTATGGTAAAGGTATATTCTCTGTTAGCAACTGAGTAAGGTGCAAGAGAGGTCTATTTAGACAAAGTGGTATGATTTTTCTCAGAGTAGTGGTGGTGTAAATTACGTCTGACGACACATTTTTAGTTACAGATTTTTAAAACTTTATCTTAATTATCTCTTGGTTATGTTTATTTAGTCATTCTTTTTTTTCACTCAACAAGGGTGTGTACTCTGTGCTGGGTACTATGTTCAGAACTGAAGAAATAAACACTAAAAGACTCAGAGCAATGATGAGGACAACTGTAGCTCATTGTTGTTGTTATTATTATTATTATTCTCTATGCTATGATCATTAGAATAGTAGATGGTCCAGCCAGCTCTTCTGCTCTGATGTTAACAGGAGCAGACCTCATCAGATTTATTAGTCAGGAATAGATTCCCAGCAAATTTAATGCTTTCAATAAAATTAGACGGCTGAATAAATGTTAGTGCAAAAAAAGGATATCTTATCTAGTCAGAGGGCCCAGCATACACACCTGTGTGTAGATTTCTGGTATGTTTGAGGTATGTATGGTATGTTTAAAATGATTTTATATAACTGAATCATGAGGATTTGGGATTGATTAGAGATAAGAAAGCAGGTATTGATAAATTTTGACTTTTCACCTTAAAGAGGATAGCAGTTATACCAATATCTTCAAGAAAAGTTGCAATGATCACAGTTACATTTTCTCCTGTTTCCGGGTGGTAGAGACTGGTGTGATAATCTGTGAAAATCTCTGGATAAACAGAGACCAGTAAGGAGACAATAATTCGCCTAATGAAGGAGGACTTAAATTCAGGCAGTCGCACTAGGGCTAGAACTGAGAGAAAAGATCAACAGACAGCAGAGAGACAATCATCTAGATTTGTCCAACAACAAGGTAGAGCCTAAGAGGCAGGAAAGAGGACTGGTATGGTGGGGCATGATTTTAGTCTCAACTACTAAGGAGTCATAGATTGCGAGAATCACAGTCCGAGGCCAACCTGAGGCAAAACAGGAGACAGTCTGAAAAATAACTAAAGCAAAGAAAGGCCTGAGGGGCAGTCTCTGGACAGAGCACCTGCCTACCATGGATGGGGAGGCACAGAGCCGTGTATGTATGAGATACACACACCCGTTCACGAGGATGGAGATGCATCTTGCACGGTGGTATAATGGCTGCAAGGAGCAAATTGCACTGTGGATCATATCCAGCACTGGGTTATGAGATTTGGGGGTTATGACGTTTGGAATTAGGATTCAAATAAAATGTTGGTGGTCCCTGGTGGCCTTTAGGAAGTTGTGATTCAAAAAAAACAAAAAACAAAAAAGAAGAATTGTACTAAGAGAAGTTCTGGCTAATTGGCAATGTAAAATGAAAGGGTGCACAGAGATGCAAGATATTTAAGCAGATAGCCACTAAAACTTACCCTTAAAGCACAAATCATATGAAGGGGTAGAAAATAAGAACCAGGTGAAAGTGGAGCTGTAGCACTAACTGGTAGAACACTAATCTTGAGCAAAAAGAGCTCAAGGATAGGACCCAGGCCCTGAGTGCAAGTCCATGACCACAAAAACAAAGAAACAAACAAAAAGAACAAGTCAATCCATATGGAAAATGCTGAAAAAAATCTGTGTCCTTAGGAAAATAAGAATTGTTAGAATAGGAAGATGTGGGGATGGAGGTGGCAGGTTGGTGTAGAAAGACTATAGTAAGAATATTGGTTTAGCTGGTAAGAAAGCTCTTGAGTGATTTAGGGCACAGGGAAAGATTTGAGAAGTGATATAGGGAAACATGGAAGCCAATGGATCCACAGCGATGGATATGAACAGCAAGAGGAGTGGCAAGGTCAGTTTTCTGAAGGTCTCTTATAGAAGAGGAGGAAGTAGTTATAATGGCGGGGTTGTTGCTTCAGCATTTTGTAATGGAACATGGTATGTGAGGAGGGAGTGAAAAAATGCAGCAAGAGCTCCAAGACAGTAGGGCTCCTCAGAAATCCAGTTGTATCTCTGCTCAGGCCAGAGACTTGAGAAGCCTACCACAGAGTTGGGAAGTTCATACATGAATTAAATCTGCAATTCATTTCTCCAAGTTCTTATCTCACACCTCATGCATTAGATCTGTACCTTAGATCTATTTCTTAAGCACATTTTCAATATTCAGGTTGAATAGAAGCATGGTCTAGGATATCAGTGACATGCATTGTAGGACTTAATTAAAGTTTGCAAGATTAGAAAGCAAAGTCTATCCTGCATTGCTAGCATGAGTGCTCTCCACTGAGGCTGGCAAAATGCGTTTGCATTTCCTGTGTACACTGAGTATCTTATGTGGAGGCTGGTTAACTATCTTCTTGAATTTGATCCAAGGATCTCAATTTTAAAATATACTGTAACAATTAAATCCTTAGCACTTATGTTCTTCATGCTTACTTCTTTTACTTAATAGTGTGAAATGAAGAGAAACAGGAAATGATTTCCTAGTTGTGACCTTGAGCTCGGAGCTCTGCTTTGAGCTCTGAGCTTCTTTACAGATCTGATTCACCAGACTTGCTTGCCATTCTGGATTACTGAATGTTATTAGAACTTGGAATTACTACATTATCAAATCTATCGTGTTAGAAATTAAAAATCATGTCAAAATCCATTTTTATTAAACATTAGCTTGTGCTTATATAGAATTCATCTATTTATATATTATCTTGGGAATGGAAATATTTATTTTTTGCTTCAAAAACAGACTTTTAGATTTCATGATACCCAGAGTTACATACATGTCTTTCAGGCTGACATTGAGTCTTTCCTGGAAAGAAGGAGGGAGGGAGGGATGCAGAAGGAGAGAGAAGGGGAGAAAGAGAAAGTATCTGAGAAAAAGAGAAAAGAAGGGAGGGAAAAGATGTGTGTGTGTGTGTGTGTGTGTGTGTGTGTAATTGTGCATGTGAGTACATGGGTTCTTTGGTCTTGAAATCCTAAATCTTTCCTGAGTACACTGAAGGTGATGAGCTTCCTTCCTGAGGCAAAGCCTTGCTATGTAGCACAAGCTCCTCACACCTGCTCTGATGGTGGTGTTGAAGCCTTTTCACCAAGGACTGCTGAAGACATTACCTGAATGTATGTGAATCAGTGAATTGCTCCCTTTGAGAAAACAGTAGAACCAGCTCAAAACAGAAGATCTAACTGCATAGGTTCAAATCCCAGCTTTGCCACTTGGTCATTTCTTTTCTGCCCTCAAGATAATTTTGTGTGTTGGTTGTTATTAGAGTTGCAGTGGATTCACATTTCTCTTGAGATGTGTGTAGCAAGCCAGAAGTGTCTACCCAAAGATATCAGATTCTAATTTCTAGAATCTATCATGTTCCTTTATTGTGAAAAAGGTCTCATCCAAGTATATTTTTTTTGGATATTTGAGGTGTGGAGATTTTCCTGGACTATCCAGATAGGCCTTAAATATGTCACAATTGTCCTTGTGGAAGAAGGAGATTCCGGATGCACTGAAGGCAAGAGTCTATTAATACATGAAGGAAGGATCAGTATGAGGTTGCCATAAGCCAAGGACTGCAGGGGGTCTCCAGTGGCTGAGAGCAGGAGGGCTGAACTGATCTCGGAGCCTCTACAGGAAAGCAGTCTCTCCACCTCCTTGAGTTTGGCTTGAGGGCCTCCAGAGTCATGAAAAATGAAGTTCCTATTGTTTATTTTCTTTTTCTTATTATCTTTGAGTAGGTGTACAAATGAGTTGCCGTTTAACAAAGCAGTTTGTGAAGACAATATATCTTGCTCAATGTTGCCCCTGTCAACATCCTCACCCATCCTTCCCAACCCACTCCTTCCCTCACTCCTAATTTTGAGGATATACATTGGATTCTTTTTTTAATTTAAATCTTATTGCAAAGGTGATATATAGAGGGGTTGCAGTTATATGTCAGGTAATGAGTACATTTCTTTTTGAACAGTGTTATCCTTTCCCTCACTTTCTTCCACTTTTCCCCTCCTGATCCCCCTCCCTACCAAGTTGTAAAGTTCATTTCCAACATAGTGTCTAGTTAGTAATTGTTGAATCAGTTCCCCCTTTGTCCCAACATTTCTGTGATTCCTTTTCTCTTTACCAAATCAGTTAGACTTATATGAAGACAAGGGGTACAGAAGTACAAAACAGTGACATCAGAGAATAAACCAAAGGGGGAAAAAAGAGGTGTAACTGCGAACAGGAGAACAAAATAAACCCCTCTTGCTTCCATTTCTTGGAGTTCTTTTGATAAACATCATTTTATATAGTCATATGTAGTCCTCTCCTAAGAATATCATAGACGTATTCTAGTTAATACAAGTGAGGGAAACCATGAAGCTGATGTTTCTTTGGGTCTGGCTTACTTAGCTTAATATAATTTTTTTCCAAGTCTTCCATTTCTTTAGGGCAATATCATTCTTTCCGATGGAAGTATAGAATGCCATTGTGCATATATACACCACATTTTCTTGATCCATTCATCCACAGAGGGGCATCTGGGTTGATTCTATATCTTAGCTATGGTAAAATTATACTGCAATGAACGT